GTGAGGTGAGCCCCCCGACACCTGTCTGCATGAGGTGAGCCCCCCACACCTGTCTGCATGAGGTGAGCCCCCCTACACCTGTCTGCATGAGGTGAGCCCCCCACACCTGTCTGCGTGAGGTGAGGCCCCCCACACCTGTCTGCGTGAGGTGAGCCCCCCCACCTGTCTGCGTGAGGTGAGCCCCCCACACCTGTCTGCGTGAGCCCCCCCACACCTGTCTGCGTGAGGTGAGCCCCCCACACCTGTCTGCGTGAGGCCCCCCCACACCTGTCTGCGTGAGGTGAGCCCCCCACACCTGTCTGCGTGAGGTGAGCCCCCCACACCTGTCTGTGTGAGGTGAGCCCCCCACATCTGTCTGCGTGAGGTGAGCCCCCACACCTGTCTGTGTGAGGTGAGCCCCCCCCTACACCTGTCTGTGTGAGGTGAGCCCCCACACCTGTCTGCGTGAGGTGAGCCCCCCGACACCTGTCTGCGTGAGGTGAGCCCCCCGACACCTGTCTGTGTGAGGTGAGCCCCCCACACCTGTCTGCGTGAGGTACCCCCACCCCCACCCCCGTGCCAAGAAACATATATCTGGCTCCTTTATCACCGCCCTCTCCTCTAAGACACTGTGCAGTTATGCCCCTCAGAGGTGGTTCCTCACGTGCTTCCCTCTGCCTGAGAAACTCCTATGTATGCATCAAGGCCCATCCAGGGATCCCCACCGGGCCTCCTGGCCAGCTCTCATGGCTGTGCCCCTAGAAGGCCCCAGTTCTGAGCTCCCCTGCTCCTGCCTGGGCTTCTGGAGAGCACCCTGTCCCCCCCGGGGGGGGGCTGCTTAATAAATGGAGCAGAGAATGGATCAGTGGATTCGGAGCGCCTGGGGCGTGGCCGAGGGCGTGGGTAGATTTGGATGGATAGACAAGGTGGAGCTGAATGATCTTTAGAAATAAGGCAAGTGGTTGGGTAGATTTGGGAGTAGCTGGGTACCTGGAAAAGTAGGGGATGGTGGATGGGGAGACAGATTGGTAGGTGGATGGATGGACAGATGGAAATACAGGGAATGGATAAGATTCGTGGGATAGTCAGATGATGGGTGGGTGGGTGGATGGGTGGATGGGTGGGTGGATGGATGGGTGGATGGGTGGATGGATGATGGATGGGTGGATGGAAGGGTGGATGGTGGGTGGATGGGTGGGTGGATGATGAATGGGTGGGTGGATGGTTAGATGGATGGATGATGGATGGATGGATGGAAGGGTGGATGGTGGGTGGGTGGTGGGTGGGTGCAAATGTGAAACCTGGGTGATGAGGAGGAGGATGGGTGACGCAGACAAGTGACTGGAAGGGTGGGTGAGGTGCGCGTGTCCTCGGCCCCTCCTCATCCCGCCGCCCTGTCTCTGGTGCAGAACCTGTTCCACTTCGTGACAGATGTGCAGAACAACGGTGTGGTGAAGATCCCTGATGCCAAAGGCGATGACGCCTGGAAGGTTTACTATGACGAAACAGCCCAGGAGATCGTGGACGAGTTTGCCATGCGCTATGGCGTGGAGTCCATCTACCAAGCCATGACGTGAGGGCGCAGTGGGTGGGCGGTGCCTGGGGTGACCCTGGCAGGCCTGGGCGAGGGGGGACTCACATCTGGCGGTTATCAAGATGCCACTATTGGAAGGTGTGGGCAGGGAGCCAGTGGGAGGTAGAGATGTGGTACCCTAGACAAACCGATGGAGATGGGCCAGGAGGTGGTTTCTGTTGCTGAGAGAGAGGGATCAGGAACTCAGGGTCATCCTTGGCTACATACTGAGTTTGAAGCCAGCCTGGGCTCTGTGATACCCTGTCTCAAAAAATAAATCCAAAAATATGGAAGAAAGGACACAGATATAGTTACATGGACTCTCGAGGACAGAGCCAGGGCGAAGGGACGCTGTGGGAAGAGGGCCCGACTCCCAGATGGTGTCTTGGAGTTGTGGGGACCCCGCAGTCTTGGTCCCCAGACCCAGTACCTCCTGCTCCCACCCACCAGCCACTTTGCCTGCCTCTCCTCCAAGTACATGTGCCCCGGGGTCCCTGCTGTCATGAGCACGCTGCTGGCCAACATCAACGCCTACTACGCCCACACCACCGCCTCCACCAACGTGTCTGCCTCTGACCGCTTCGCCGCCTCCAACTTCGGGGTCAGTCTCAGGGGCCGGGGCTGGACGCGCTTCCTGTGATGAGCAATCCTGTGTCCCTCTGCCTCAGAGCCTCGATTTGCTTGTCTGTAAGAATGAAATCGAGGTTAAGAGTGGGTGCAGTGCTTGTGACTCAGTGGGTGCAGTGCTTGTGACTCAGTGGGTGCAGTGCTTGTGACTCAGTGGGTGCAGTGC